TTCCCCAGATTGCCCCTTGGTCCTCCTCACCAGGGGCTGCACTTGGCAGGCAGCTGGGTGGGCTGGCGGCGGGAGGCGGGCTCTTCTTCATCGCTGCCCCCTGCTCCGCCCCACCTTGGAGGACACACCTGGGGCTGGACGCTCCCCCAGCAGCATCCAGACCTACGACCTACGTGTGCGTGGGCCTCAGAGGCAGTCGGAGAGGGAGGGAATGCCCCTTCCCGGGACCAGGACATTCCCAGACCAGTCGGAGAGTAAGTCTATCAAGAGACTCGACGAGTCGCCCCACCCCAATCTCATGCCCACTGTCGCAGGTGACCCCTGGTACTGCCGTGCAACGTGCACCTGGAAAGCTCAGGCCACCTTGGGCCAGCAGGCCCAACCCTTCCCTCATCTGCCAGAGAGAAACCAAGCCAGAGAGGTCGGGGAGCGAAGTGAAGTCCCACAGGGCCAAGCAGGGACACCCCAGTTGCCACCAGGTCCTGTCGCCCTACGCGCCTCTCCCCAGGTCCTCCTGTGAGCACCCAGCAACAGCAGAGAACCAGACGCGTGAGTGGGTGGCCAGAGCCCACCTTATAAGGCAGCCTCGGGAAGCCTGGCTGGTGTCAGCTTTAGGGGGGGGGGGGGCGGCTCCCAAGGCGAGGCAGAGCCAGCAGCCCGCCCTGCAGCCCCACCCACAGCCACCCACGTAGACGCAGGGGGGAGAGTGGGGACCTGGGAGAAGAGGCGAGGCTGTTCCTGCCCAGAGGCCAAGAGAGGAGCAGAGACGACCTGGGGACAATGAGGAAGGTGCCAGTTACGTGGGCAGGACAGCAGCCTCAGAAACCAAGAACTCAACACACCAGAGTGGACAGGGTCAGCTGTGGGTCTGTATCTGACCACAGAAGTATCTGCTCGCAGCAGTGACGAAGGCCACCTCATCTCACTTCTCCAACACTATTTCGTTGGGCACCTGCTATGTCCAAGTCACTCACTCAGTATCTTATGGGATTCTTAAAAACAAAAACAGCCCTGGCTGAAAGGCTCTGTGGATTGAGCACCAGCCTACGAACCGGAAGGTCGCCAGTTCGACTCCCAGTCAGGGCACACGTCTGGGTTGCGGGCCAGGTCCCTGGTTGGGGGCGTGTGAGAGGCCGCCACCTATCAACGTTTCTCTCACACGTCAATGTCTCTCTCCCTTTCTCCCTCCCTTTCTTTCTCTAAAAGTAAATAAAAAACAAACAAAAAACAAAGACAAGAGCTCTACCCTCAAGTAATCTCAAATCCAGTGGCGGGGGGGCAGGGATGGAATTTGGGAGAAAATATAGCAAAAGTTAAGTGTGACTATAACCGAGTTACAGGTGAATTTTAGTTTCTTTCTAATGTCTGTATTTTCTGAATTTTAAAGAAAAGATACTATGACAAACTATGTTAAGGATTCTGGCAAAGAAAGTTCACATACCAATAATTTACATTCTAAGCCAAATACGAAATACTACACAGGAGTAAGTGCAACAAGGCTGGGGGCCCGGGGAAGTGAGGCTACTTCCTCCCAGCGGGAGGGCTTCCTGGGAGAGGTGCCATTTGAGCTGGGCTTGGAGGGAAGCACAGGAGTCCCAAGGGCAGTGAGTGATGTGAGGAAGAGCCAAGTCGGGGGTGAGAGGTCAGAGCGAAACAGCTGTGAGGAGGGGCCTGTGGCAGGAGGAGCCCAGAAGCCGGGTGGTGGCAGCTGGACAGGAGGGGGAAGGACTGCGGAGGCCCCGGGGCGACTGAGCCAGTGCAGGCTCAGCCTGGGCAAGGATTTCATCAGCACCACACTGCGCTTAGGGAGGTCAGTGTGGGAACAACTCAGCTGGGGTCCCAGGGGACTTGGTCTTGCACCTACAGCCAGTCTGGAAGGCTTCCTGGAGGCAGAGGGCAGAGTCTGATCAGAGGGCACAGGGCTCCCTCGGCCCCTGACCCCTTGCCCCTGCGGTGCCAGCTGGCCCTCAGGAGCAAGGGGCAGCGTGCCATGAAAGGCAGTCAGCGGGGGCCTTGGGGGCGGCGCTTCCTGGAGCTCTCCGTCCAGCCCCCAAAGGAAGGGTGGAAGGGGACAGGACTGCCAGGTCTCCAGGAGAGATGGGCAGGAAGTAGGGCTGGAGGAGGACCGGATGTGCCTCTGGAGGGACTGTGTCCACCAGCAACACCAGAGGAGGTGGAGAAAGGAAGGAGCAGAGCAGCAGCTGGGCAGGAACTCCAGCCTGCACCCCAGAAGCCCCCTCCAGAAGGAAAGCCCCGCCCCCCATGCAGACCCACCCAGGACCTCCAGCTGGACCCCCAAGGCAGGTGTAGGCCCAGGGCCCAGGGCCCAGGGCCCAGCCCTCAGTGGGCCTCGCCCACTCCTCCCTGGGTTACTCCTCTGACTTCTGCTGTTGGAAGAGGAAAGATCGTCCCAAAGGGAGTCATCCGAGCCCCGCCTCCTCCACGGTGCTTCTTCCTCTTCTCAGCATTTTGCCAAACCCTGCCCCGCTCCACCCCATCCAACGACAGGTCCTCAACCCGTGAGCACTGGTCTCAGAGCCCCACCCCACGCAGCCACTGAGACATGCAGTCCGGCATAGGCACGTGTGTGCAAACCCCACCCCCACAGCTGGTGCCTGGGGGTGGGGCCGGAGGACAGCCACGCTGGCCCGTGGCCCCTCCACATGGAGGTGGACTCCCCTCCGCTCGGCCCACCCCAAGGGTGAGCACGGCCTGGGGCGCCACCACCTGCTCTCATGCCCCTTCAAACATTTAACTTCTTCTCTGTGCAGAAACCCCACAGTTCCCGGGGTTCAGGCTCCTCAGCATCTCTGGGCTGTGGCCTCGGCTGGGAATGCTTCTCTCTCCTGTTTTGCCTGGTCAAATCCCCCAAACCTTCGAGGAAAGGGCCCCACTCCCGGGAAGCCTCTCCACACTGTTCTGGGTCCCATCGCCACTGTCCTGCACCGGCAGCTCCCCCCACTGTCCCCCACGTTGAGCCAGAGCAGGCCCGATGCTGTCCCCCAGAGCCGGGGCCACCTCCTGGCACATCCACCACCAGCTGTCGTCAAGACCTGGACGGCCTGGTGATGACCATCTCCCAACCACATCCTGTTTGACCGGGCTGAGCGTGAACACCTCACCCCCAGGAGGGGGACGGGGGCGGTGCCAAAGGCCCTTGACCAATGGCAGACCGGGAGGAAATGGCCTGCAGGCCACTCCCCAAACACTGGCCGTGCCTTCGTCCTCTCGCCCTCTCTGTGCACCAGGGAGCAGCTCTGCAGGGTCAAGTTTAGGGAGATGGGAGTGAGAACAGGCTCACACAGAACCACGGCCGGAAGGGGCCCCCGAGGTCCTGTAGTTCAGGCTGTTGGGAGTCGCCCAGCGTCGCAGGAAATTCAGAGTTTCAGCCCCTCACGACCTCCCACCCCAACCTACTCAGTCAAACGAACGTTCACTTAACAGAACACAGTAGCTCATCCAACGCCCTGTCCCCCGCCTCAGCGCAAGCCAAGAGCCCTCCGGTCCCCGAGTCCCTGGAACCACTGGAAGAGTCCTAGTCAGAAAGTAAAGTAAAATAAATAAGAGAAGGAAGTGAAAGCAGGAACTTGAAGAGACACGTGCGTGCCGGTGGCCACAGAAGCACTGCCCTGCAGCAGGAAGGAGCAGGGGCAGCCGATGTCCAGGAACAGATGGTGGGCCCACAGCACGCGGCCCCCACACAGCCCTGAACAGGAAGGAGCCCTGACAGCCGCCACGGCCCCCGGACGGTGGGGCCGGGCCCCGAGCACACTGCGCTCGGCGAAGCGGCCAGCCACGGAAGCGCAAGCCCGGTATGCCTCCGCTTCCGTGCGGCACCTACAGCGGTCAGTTCACAGACACAGAGTGGAGGGTGGGTGCCGGGGCGGGGGACGGTGGGCAGGCGGTGTGTAGCGTCCGGCAAGGACAGACCTCCACCCGGAGGGAGGAAGAAGTGCTGGAGGCGGTGGTCGCACAACGTGAAAGCACCTGGCGCAGCGGAGCTGTGCGCCTAACGGTTAAAAGGGTGAATTCTATGCCACGTGTATTCTAACCCTAATTAAAAACGGCATTTCTGGAAAGGTCAATCAAAAACCCAGAAGGTTCTGTCTGTGCAACTCAAAACACAGCCACTGAACATTTACTGAGTTTCCAATCCTGTGACCAGAACCGACCCAGCGCCCATGGGGCTTACAGCCCAGCGGGCACCTGCACATGGCCAGTGTCCCAGGGACTCGGTGACCCGTGGGGATCGGCACTGCCTCCCCTGGAAGCTCTCCGAGGGAGCCAAGTCCAGGGTGGGGTCCTGCGAGGCAAGGGGTCCACACCCAAGCCTCTTGCTTCCTCCCCAACCCTTCACAAGAGCACTCTCAAACATAGCTGTGGGCAGGAACCATGGGGACCCCTGGCCCAGGGGCCCCTTCTAGCTGCCCAGAGAATCTTTGGGTGCAAAGACTGGACATTCTCGTGGTCTCCTTGCCTCTGGGGGAGGAAGTGGAAGACCCTCTGATGCGAAATCCCAGGAGGTTGCGAACGCCCCACCCCACCCCACTGCAGGCCACGCCCCTGCCAGGTGTCCAAGGGGCCGCCTGCAAACCCCGCCCCTGCAAACCCTGCCACTGGGCATGGGCACCACGGAACATGCTAGCACGTCCTTGGACCCCAAACCCACTTCCTCTCGTGTCCAGGCCCCAGCCCCTGGCATCCTGAGCTCCACAGCATGGCCCATAAAGGGGGCCCCTGGAAACCCAAAAGCTTTTCCCAAAGCCTAACTCAAGTCCAGCATGCTGCACCCTGGTCCACCCTCTGTGGACAGAAAGAACCGCACTGCTCCCCGGCGGAGCCTCTGACCGCTCACCCCTGCGCATTCCAGGCCTTTGCAAAAGCACAGCGCCCCACCCCCTGCCCTGACCCCAAGCTTCGTTCTCCAGGATTCCACAGTAGAGCCGACTCCCGCCCCCAATCCGCACCCCCAAGCATCACACTGGTGCTTCACTACTCACCCTCCTGTCTCCTGGGTGGGGCCTCGGCCAAGGGGGGCTGGGGCTTGGGCTCCAGCCGGCTCTGCAGCTGAGACATCGGGGTGGGCTCTGAATTCTCCAGGATCTGGGCTGGGACAGGGCAGGCGGGCACCTCAGCTGACTTGGGCACCTGGATCTCCACCCTCTTGGGGACAGCATCAGTGGTGGGGGCGGCGGGCACATCGGGGATCTTGGAGGCGGGGGTCTCCATCCTCCGGTGGGCTGGCTCTGGGGGCTTGACTATGGTGATCTCCGTCCTCCGGGGGGTGGGCTCTGGCGTCTTGTGGCCCAGCGCCTCGGCCCGCTTGAGCCCAAACCGGGATGGCCCAGGGGTGCTGGCGTTCTCCACCTGCTTGGACGAGATGTCAATGGAGAGCTCGGTGCGCCGGGACACGAGCTCGGTCTTGGGGCCCGACAGCTCGACCCTCCGCAGGGCCGCCTTGGGGGATCGCTGGCTGAGGGAGTCTACATAGCGGGCGGCGGGCTCCGAGTTCTTCACGCCCAGGTCCTGGAATTTCTGGGTGGAGCTGGCCACTGTGGCCCGGAGGAGGGGGGTCTGGACCCTCCGGGGTGGCGTGGAGTTGGGCGTCTCGACCTCCTCGACCTCAAAGGACCTCTTCAAGGCTGAAAGACACAGGAGGGTGTGATGAGTGAATGGCTCGGGGACACCCAGCTGCGTCCGTGCACGGAGAACGAACGCCGGGAGGCAGCCGGCGGGGGTGCTGCAGCGCCAGGACCCCCGGGGAAGGCTTGTGCACCCTTCGCCTCTCAGGAAGCAAGGGGGCAGCCCTCCTCTACCAGGGTAGAGGTACCCAGAGGCACCCACAGTCCCATGTCTGGGGGGAAAGAGAAAGGGCTGGAGCCTGGAGGAGACCAGCCCCTCTGTCCTGCTCCTGCCACGGCCACAGCGGGGACCCAGCCACACTTCCTGTCTGGATTCGGGCTCCAGGGGAGCCTCCGACTGCTGTCTTGTCTCGGCTTTCCTTTCTGCCCCCTCACCTCCCCCCGCCAGACACCAGCGGGGCAAACACACCATCACCACCACCCTTAGTGCAGCTCAGAATCATGATGGGAATGACCTCCCTGTATCCGCAACGGCATGAAGAGCCGACAGGTGAAGTAGGCAAGGACCGGGCTCACCGTGCATGTCACAATAACCCTGTGTGGTCAAGAAGGCCACTGCCACCTGGGACCAATGGGAAAACTGAGACCCTGGGGCTGAAGCAGCGTACCCAACACTGGGGTCAGCGAGTGGCAGACCCAGAAGATGCGTCTGCCTGACTCCAAGGCCAAGGTTCTAGGCACATGGTTGTCTAGTTTCTAACAGAATCACAGAGCCCCGGCGCGATCCACCCCGGCCCCCCACCCCACAGATGCCTGCTTGCCCCAGCCAGACTGGGCCCCTGCGGGGTGCTGACCATCTGACTCCCACCCCACCGCCCTCCACCTCCGCCAGGATCTGCTCCCTCCAAGGCAGGGGGGAGGGGCGCTGCCTAAGAATCCGCCATCCACACGGTCCTCGCAGCCGCCACGCTGCAAACAAGAACCAGCTGCTCCCAGTTATCAAGACCAGAGCAGGAAGGGGCCCACGTGGCAGGGACACTCACCGGCTCCTTCCCGCACGCCAGCCCCGAGCAACCCACAGTGGCCCAGACCCCTCGCCTCTCCTCTCCAACCCCAACCCCAACCCCGAGCCCAGGGGTCCAGGGGACCCCACCGTTTCCTCCCCGCCCAGCCTGCAGCTGGTCCCCAGCCCCCAACAACCGCTCTCCAGGACCATTCTTAGCAGCCCCTCCCTCCCGGCTCTCTTTCCTCCAAATTCCAACCCAGCCCTCAGAGTCCTCCCAGCAGACAGCACTTCCTTCAGAAGAGGCTTGGCAGGGGGCTGGGTGGGCAGGTGGCCGGAGCGTGCGATCTTAGCCCTGGGGCGGCGGACGTGCGGGAGGCCTGTTCCCTGGATGGGGAAGCCCAAGCGCCCCAGAGGCCCAGCAGGGGCTGCACGCGTCTTTGGAGGGAGGAACCCTGGGGGTCAAGGGCGCTGCCATGTCTTGTGCACCCTTGTCTCGGGGACGCGCCTGCTGCCTCCCCAGTGTTCAGGTCCCTGTGGACAGAGCATCGGACTTCACGAGAAATGCCCCCCGGAGGGTTCTGGGGCGTCTCCTGGTCTAGAAGCTGCCGCAAAGTGCCACCGCCGCCACTTTTACAGTCGGACACCGAGATCACTGCAGAGCAAGAGCCGCACATGCCAAAGAAGCCCAAACACCCCGAGGAGAGGTCAGGGGCCCGCCGGACTGGACACAGAGTCCAGGGCTGAGAGCCTGGACCTCCAAGGCACCTGGTCTACCCCCTCCGTCGACAGCACTGTCCAAACTGCCCCTGATGGGTGGCCCCTGTCTGTCTGTGGGCTTCCTGGAGGAGGGCTGCCCCCCTCGGCACAAGCATCTCCAGATGTCCTTGGTGTCGGTTCCCTGGGGCCAAGCTGAGGAACAGAAGGTGGGTGGGGGAGAGCCTTTCCCAGGTCTGCCCAGGGGAACAACAAGGCCCTGACTGGTGACGTAAGAGCCGGCACCAGAGCAACGCCCTCCGGGACTCCGGCACGAGGTCCAGAGGTGGCCCGAACTGGGACCAGCCCCGCCCACGCACAGGTCCCAGGGGACGCTGTTCCTCCCTGGGCCCCCGACACTCCTGCATGTGCCCGGCCCCATCCGCCACCCCACCTCTCTCTCCTCTGCTTTGTCTTCCTCCGAGGCACAGGTCGCTCCTGGTCCTGCCCCATCGGGGGCTTCCTGTCCAGAAATATCAGCTACCTGGCGCGCACTGCCCAACACTGTCCCTCCCCATCAGTCCTTCGTGTCAGGAGGACAGGGACCGTCCCCACCATCAGGGCCGTGGCTGCTCAGCAAATCTCCAGGTTGTTCGCATTGTCCTTGACAGTGTGCGCCATCCCCCTGACAGGCACGCCTCCTCCTCCGAGTGCCCGCAAAGCCAGGCTCACGGACTCCCTCACGGCCGGCCTAGGGCCCCGAGGTTCACACCCCCCACGCCATCTAGGCACGTCAGGACTTCAGGGGTCGTTCCAGGGGCCCCAGCAGCACAGCCTGACACCACAGGCCGTGAGTCAGCTCTCCATCTAAGGCCTCAGGGGCTTCTGCACGGCTGGTTGTGGGCGCATGACTGTGGGCGCCAAGCCCCGGGGAGCCGCCCGAGCAGGGAGGCACCGGGTCTTCGCTCCCTTTTCAGCCTGAGAAGTTCCACTTTTTTCTAAGTCTGCAGTGGGTTGAACAGTGCCCCTCAAAAGATACGTCTCAGTCCTAACCCCCCAAGACCTGGGAACAGGACTTGGAAATAGGGTCTTCACAGACGTACTAAAGGCAAGGACTTGAGATGAGACCATCCTGGATTTAGGGCGGGCTGTGAGCCCCGTGTGTCCTCACAGGGGAAAGGAAAGGAGGTCTGAGACAGGGACACAAAGGACAGGCCATATGGGGACGGACTCAGAGGCGGAGATGCAGTCACAAGGCCAGGCGTGCTGGGGGCCACCGGAGCTGGGATGGGCCGGCCAGGGTTCCTCGCTCGAGCTTCCGGAGCAAGAGCCGGCTGAGGCCTTGGTTGTGGACACTCCAGACATGGGAGGGAATCAGGTTCTGCTGTGAAAGCCACACTGGACGTGGCGACTGGCCGCGGCAGCCCCGGGCATCAGCACGGGGACCGTCAGAAGGACGAAGCCACTCGGCTACGACTGTCAGGAGCCCTCCCGGCCGGGGCCACCTCACTCTACACCCCGGCCCCTGTCCAGTCCCAAGCACACTCCCGGGACTCACAGAGCCCAGGTGGGCAGAGAGGCTGTCGGGGGACTGGCACTGCTCCCACTCACACCGGAGCCTCCGGGGACGAAGCGGATCAGTTTCAACAGCAGGCTTTGCAAGGGACGCCTGTGCACAGCTGCCTCCCCACCAAGGGTGTCGTGACAGCGGCGGCACCCAGCTGGGACACATCAGGAAATGGCCTGTCACAAAGCTGGCAGGACAGGGTCCCCCGGCACCCCCTCCCCCATCAGAGTCCTGCAAACACACAGCCACCCTCCCCCACGGGGGTCACCGAGTGTAACTGGCTCGTGTTCCTCATCCTCCCCGTCCGTCCCTGCAGAGGCCGAGGCAGCCAAGGGGTGTCCAGGCGCGGCCACGGAAGCCAGCAAGTCGCTTTGCATATTCGAGACCTCTCTGGGACCGCACTGGGCAGTGCGGTGGGGACCAGCACCGGCTGCCACCCAGCTGGGTCTGCAGGATGTCACTGCTGCCGGAGGGCAGGCCAGAGAGCACAGGTGAGCAGGACAAAGTGGACTCCCAGACACCAGACAAGTGACCTCCGGGGCCTCTGGGGGAGAGAAATACTGCAGGAGGTCCCCCCTCTGCTACCCCATTTCTGAAACACAGATGCCGCTTCTCCCCCCAAAGCCAGGCACAAACCTCGCCTGCTCCCCAAAGCCCTCTGCAGCTGCCCCAAGAGCCCGAGGACCCTTCGAGCACTTTGGCCCTGGCTGCACACTTCCCCCACAGAGATAATCAGAAGAACAGAAAGATTTACTGCGCAAGGACGTCTGCATCACCATCGAAACAGCAAACACTGGAAACGATTTGGGTTCACACCGATTTCCCAAACCCGCATGCCGAAGTCCTGCTCAGGCATCGAAATCACGGTTTTGAAGACGCGCAATGCTGTGACTATGCAGTAAAAGTAGCAGAATACAACACGCATGTGGGCAGAGGTCCTGGTCTTTTCAAACATACGTGCAGAGCGCATGCACTTGCACTGAAAACACCCGTCTCTGGTGGAACCCCGTGGGGTGGGTGGGGCCTGGCTGAGAGCAGGGGCTGTGGATACCTGTGCCTGGCGCTGATCCCCCCAAAGTCCAGCCCTCCCCGTCTAACCTACGCTCGGCCGCCTCCCCAGATGCAAACCTCCCGCCCGCCCTGCCCTTGGGGGTCGAGCGAGGCGGCCGGCCTGGATCTGGGCCTGTTTAAGGAGGAATGTGCCTGTGCACAAGGGGCTATTGTGAAGGTCCTGCTCTGACTGCGGGTGGCCAGCAAACCTCTCCCCACTCCCGGAACACTTCCTGGTGCACGCGGGGGGCCTGGGGCGGGGACACCGGGCAAGCCACAGAGCCCTGCTCCAGTTGGGACACATGTCAGAAAATGAAATGCCGGAGATGAGGTCGGAACGAGCCCACGTGCAGCTCCCGAGAGGTGGTGGGGGCCCAGGGTAGGCAGAGTGGGGTCCAGTGTTTGAACAGGGAAGGCGGAAGGCACACCAGGTGGTGACCCTGCGGAAGTTCATACGTTGTGAAGAAATCGGTGTTGGTGCAACTAGCGCCCACATGTGTGCACTTGTGTGTGCATGTGTGTGCACGAGGTACCCCCACACAGACGGCTGTGTCTGCCACGCCCGCAAGCAGTGTCTGCCCCAGGGCCTCTCTGGGTGGCCGCCCGGTGCCCTAGGCGGGGCGACAGGGCACAGGGGGTAACACTGCTCCCCACCCCAGTAACTCTCGGGCAGTAACTAGAGGGTCAACACCCCCAGCCCACCCCGGGGGGACACCTCTGGGATGCACAGGGCCGAGCTCCAGC